TAGACAGCAACCGTTTCTGTTTTATTAAAAGTATTAAACTATATGAATTAAATTACGTACAATTTCTAAATATTGCTCCATGTTCAGGATAAATAATATGCAATACCCCTTAGAAGGGGTAGCGATGATTAAGAAAAAATGTTGAATGGTATAGATTCACTCAATTGTTTCATTTACAAATTATTTGTCTTTTATGAATCATAAGTTCTTCCATAGACAAAAAGAAATAAATATAGACTGTCAACCGTTCTGTGGTTACCATAGTTACCATAGATTCTGACGTACACCGCTGGGAGCTCCGTTTAGTTACGTAACGCACACGCCGTAACAACATTGTGCTCCCAGCGGTGTGCGCCAGAATCTATGGTAACCACAGCATGGCTGACGATCTATATTTAATTCTTTTGTCTACTCTTCCTACTCAAAATCCATATGGTGATTTTTAGGAATCTTAACAAAATAACCTGTTTGTCTTCAGTTAATGCAAATTCAGTAGATAGATGCGCGACGACTAATCTAAGGTAGGTTTTTAAATTTTAATGAGACATAATAAGCCTGCAAGCTATAAATAAATACTTAACAACACCGAAATACTCATTGCATAAAAACTGAACTAATTGGTACACAGTTGGTTTATAATATTTCATATTTATAGTTTCAATTCGCGGTTAAGCTTCCTGAATGATTTACGATATTAATTCATTAATTTTGATACGAATTTATTTGACATGTTTTTTACATCACCAAAGTAAAGTACCAACTATTATTATTTTAAAAACTAAATCATGAAAACTGTTATGATTTAAATACCCCCGCCGCAGCAAACCTACCGTCTAAGCGAATTTCCTTTTGGCTGAATTGATTTTCAATTGATCTATTTAAATAATATTAGGTTTAACGAGTACCAAGGTTTGCTGCTACAAGGAAACTAATAAAGTGTGTTTTTAGCAAAATATTGATAGCTTACTATAAAATAAATAAATTTGCCAAGTTTGATCAAAATATATCCATAAACAAGCAAACTACAACATTTTACAATATTCTCCATAAGAATAACATGGGAATTTTAAATTTACCATTTTTTTAGTTTTCTCCGTAACCAATAACCGTACAAAAACACTTTGATATACTGAATTGTTTGTTTTTTAAGCTCTTTAAGAAGGTTTAGAGAAAAATTGGGAAATTTTGTGTTTTGAGGGTCAAAAGTGAGAAAAACCAATTTTCACCCCATAAAACCCTGTTCCCATGGTCCGATCATGCTGGATCGCGAACTCATTCAAGTTTATCCCGCCTTACACCTTCAAACCAAATTTCATCAAAATCGGATAAAAATTACTCAAGTTATCGTGTTCACGGACACACACATATATATATATATATATATATATATATATATATACATATATATAAATTTGAACGAATGGTGTTTTTGACCTCTGGGGACATCAAAATGAAAAAGTAAATCGGTCCCAGGCCTAAGTCTTACCATGAGACCTACGGTAATAGCTACTTCCCTATAGGGAAATTCGCTAAAATTATATAATACTTTTCTGTGATTTGTATTAGTCACAGTTTGTGCTAATTCGGAAAATATGTCGGTATTAATTTACAATGAGAGATGAATTATTTAATATTTGACTATGGAATTAAATTATTAAACATACAGTAGAACCTCTTTAATCCGAACTAATTGGGACCGGGGGTAGTTCGGATTATTGAATAGTTTGGATTACAGAACATATTGTTGTTTTTACATAACAATAGCTAAAACCTGGCTAAAATTGATGGTTCGGGAAAAGTGAAAAAATTCGTTATAAAGTAAAATACAGTGTTTATTTAATACAGTAGTAAACATAGTGAATAAACTGTACTGAAAATTAAATACAGCATACAACAAAGAACTACTGTAGTCTGTATAGAGTACAGCAATGAGGTGTTCGGATTAGTGGATGTTCGGATTACGGGGGTTCGGATTAAAGAGGTTCTACTGTACTTCATAAATTTTTTTAGTAATGGCTTAGGCAGGTACATTTACACTTAAATACTTTCCATTTCACAAACATATTAATGATATAATAAACTAAAATTAATAAACTATATCTAATAAATAGCTTTAAACAAGCCTCTTGAAATCTTTAACTTCTGTCTCCAGTTAAACAAGCTATCGATATTTTGTACTGTATTCTCAAATTAATGTGTTTTGAGGTTTTCCCTCTATACAATGCACTACAATACCTTAAATTATTATGTGAAGGAGGCGTCTGAACGGAATCATTCATACAACCTTTTTATGTAAATATGTCCTAGTCCGTACCTTGAATGCATGCTTACCTGAACAAAAACTAATTTTTTGCATTATTTATTTGTTTTTTTGGGTTTTCCCTAGAAACACGTAAAAAAATAAAGCATTACCGTTTCAACCGCTACAACCACTTTTTAAATTTGTTACTAATCTAAGAATGAAAAATTTTGAGATTTGCATTTTACATAAAAAAAAAACGATTGACTGCATAAAGCAAATGTATATAACTTTCTAGAAAATTCGAAAATTACGTAGTTTTCTGGCCAGGGGCGCAGAACGCTAGAAAATGGCAAGTTTCTTGTATGGCGGAGGACGACACTCGCACGACTCCTTTCTGTACAGTAATTGTTTCCGTGATACAGAGGCTGTGCTACACGACGTTGTGTTATCCTGAGGAAAATAAGATTTGCAACTCCACAGCTAGTAGAAGTGCCTGCGTAGAAAGCGGAACAAAGTAACGCTCGTTTTGTTTGTTTTTGGAAATGTTCATTATTTTCTCAAAATTGAAAATTAATTTTCTGATAAATTGGTTTATAATTTTCCCATACTCTCAAAATATGTTAACGTTTTTGAGAGAAAATAATTTTTAAACAATTGATGACGTAGTTGATTAGGGTTGAACTAAATTTTTTGAGAAATCAAATTTTTACGTCTTAACAAGTTTTTTTTTAAAGAAATTGGAAAATAAGGGTCCATCATTTACCCCTTCAACTCCCTCTATTCCTAGTCTATACAATACACTTTCACTGTGTTTATTATTACAAGGATAAAATCGTAGAGTGAATTTGGATAGTTAAGATAAACATTTAGTATTAATTTTACGCTGTTGAAATTACAATGTGCAAAAAGACAAAAAAAATTCTTTATCAGTCACAAACTATAAAAATGTTGTTTCTGTTGGATGATAATTTTTTTGTTTCACATTAACTTATTCTCCACTCTAATTCGAGTCGTACCCTTTATTTGGTTATCAGATTGTGTGACTGGTTTAGCGGTTATCCGTTAACCGCACAGCTTTTATACTGGGGCCTATGGTTCAAGCCCAGCTCATCAACAACGAAATTACAACGCATTATTGTATTTAAAAACTCCCATCAAAAAATCCATAAAAATTTTAAATTTTCAAAAACACAAAAAACTGTTGTTTTCCAGACATACTTTTATCTTAATGAGTAATTCACCCTTATCTTAAAATAGAATTTACAATATTGTAATTTTTTCTAACCGTAAGACGTCTTAAATATGAGTAATCTCTACAAATTAATCAGCCCGTCTTCAGTAGTTATTGCATATTCAGTATTCCAATTAGTCCCCACCTTGGTCGGAGACGTACAAAGGCAATGAATAGCTTATGTCCACTGTTTGTCCACTAATGGACAGACACACCACTAGTGGACGTCGTAGTGGACACCACGCAATATCTGGAGGAGACTGCCTTATCATTGAACATTATTGATGCCCAATTGAGACTCACCACTGACCGGCTCTAGCTCCTAGCTTGGGCAGAAATTAGACATTAGACACGGTTGTGTTGTTTATCGACGTTTCATCGTGGTGTTTTCTTTATTTGTAAGGACTGTTTGAGAAATTTGTGGTTAATACATTACATATGACGTCAAGAAAATGTTGCCTTAATGTTCACAACATTGAATCTTCAATAACGAGCTTTTGACTAGTAACATCAGTTTAATAAACTGCCTCTATGATTGATTGGCATAACTATGGATTTAAAAAATCTATATTTAGATAGATGAATGTGCATTTTTATTTATATATATTTTTATAAATAATTTTAACATGTTACGTTAAATTTTGACGGGCGAGGACATTTTATAATCCTTATAGGCCACAACTGCTGTAATGTAGTATGATGCTTAATAATTTGGAAAATATTTAGTTACAATTGAAAATTGTTTTGTTTGAGTAACACGTCACTATTTCATTTGTAACTTATTTCTTCGATTTATTCGGTAATGTTAAACAATTGTCATCATGACTGCAAAGTTTAAGTTTCAACTTTTTGATTCTTACATCTTAACTTTTTTTATTAATTAAAAAAGCAAATATTTAGGTACAATTTTTACAAATTATAATTTACCACTATAGAAAAAAAAGACAAAACTATTAGTAAAAACACATCCTACAGTTTAATGACATTATATTTCCACTTTTTATGACTTAGAAATGCTATACTGCAGAACAAATATAACAAAAACAATGATTGGTAAATTTATATTCACAATATGTATGATGTTTATAAGCAGACCGATTTACTTTTTAAATGTACGAGTATAGATTAGATTTACCTTTCAAACATAAAATTCAAAGTGAAATGATCCTTTTACATGGGAAAAAGTATATACAGTATGTACATTCGTGTAGTTGCGAAAAAGATAAAATAGGTTTCGAACATTGCTAGACTATGAAATGTAAACAAAAATAAACTAACTATGTAATTTATTTCCTTCAGTTCCATTAGAATTGGTTGCACTTATTTGATGGTTTGTGTTGTCTAAAATTGTACACAACTAAATAACATGGTTTTTCACATCAAACTTCTCAACTATCTTCGTGTCCACTTTTGTTTAATTGTGTCAGTTTAACTATGGGTAGTTTACAATTAATAATTATTTTATGGCATGGCTTGTAAACAATTTCAATGGTGGTCTTCTAGTAAAGTTTCATTTGCATGTTCTAGATCTGGGTCAGCGGCCATACCTAGAAGCCTCCCCCTTCGGCAGCCACCTGCGTGAGCTGACCGAGTACCGCCAGAGGGTGAAGAGCGAAGTTGTCTCCAACAACAACAACAATAACAACAACAACAACACAGGCTACAAGGTGGAGCCGGGCCACACGACGGCAATACCTGGTGAGTGGTGATTTTTGTAACCATTGTAATTGATGTGTAAAACTAATTGTAGTCTATAGCATGAAACCTTTGGCTATCATTAGTAGCAGACATCACATCATAGTTCCATGTTAAATTATACTCTAGCTCATACTAGGAGGACATCGTGACGTCACCTTATATTTATTCGTCAATTCACACAGCTCAATTATGATCCACATTCTGCTCAAAGGTTTTCGCGCTACACTTTGCTAATTCAGCATATATTAAGCACGGGAGAAGTATTGCGGAATATTTTGGACATCATGTAGTCCTTTTGTATGAATTTCTACTTAGCATTGAGTTTCCAAAAGTCAATAATAACAAATTTCGCACGCTTCATGCATGAAGACCGTTTTGAAGATGAACACATTTTTCCTAGGACGCTAGGCACGAGCCTGGGATTGTTTTTCACATTACTTCAGGCTAGACTTAGGGGTTGCGGCATTATCACTTAGATAAAATCCATTGGTGATTTGGCGGGATTTTAACCCTCGGTACCTCTTGGACCGAAGTCCTACGCTCTAACCACTAGACCAGCTCACTCTCCGAAGGTAAACACAATGGAAGAAACTACAAATGATGACGTATTTGTGAATTTCACGGCTGAACGATCAACAAGCAAGCTCACCGGTCAATGGTACCATTCTGATCAATACCAATTCCACTAGACCAGTACAGTAAGTAATGACTTGACCGGCGCTCTACTCTAGACGGAGGAATGTAATTTTGGAGTTGCCTTTTGGAAAGTGATTTGTCTGGACGTGAGAAAGGTTTGAAGGGAGCAATTTAGTTTCCATTTGGCTTCAATCAGCTGTAGGCCCGACTGGTAGCGCTGCGGTGCTCCTGTTATAGTGAGCTATCATTATTGGCGACCGGGTAGGGTCGCGGCCCAAACCCTGGCTCCTGTGTTGCCACTGTCCTGCGTGGGAGGGCGGTTTGAAACTAATTGACAGCATACCTTGTGGGATAAGACATTTTTTTTTAGTTTTATGTCACACTCGTTAAAATGTGTAATTTGACCAACTCAATGAAATTAATGTGTTATGATTATCATTCCTCGCGGATACGTTTCCTCCGGTTGTTAGGAGGAAGAGGAGAGAAATCGGACGTCAAAACGTGTTAAACATTTTATTTGAATTCCAGTCTCACCTACTGAAGAAAGTGTCCGAAATTTATGACTTCAGGGACCTAAAATATTTGAGCTTTTTTCAAGTCCATAAACAAGAATATTCAGACAGTGGAACTATCCTGAGTATTTTAACAGAGTAATATTATGTTAAAGATTCCGTAGATGCTGTAATATACCTTTCAGTTATAAGTGATTTGAGATACAAATCAGATCAAGTTTTACCTCAGAAAAATCCTAGAGTTTCACACATGTTTGCGGATCATTCATTTGTCAAACGAATGCGAAGAGCTTCAACAAAATCGTCAACAAAACATAGCTACTGCCCGAACCCTGTAAATCTGAAGAAAATAAGAGTAATTCTAGCAAGAGGAGACCCTTTCCCCACTAAAATGATTATGTTTTCTAATACTGATATTCATTAGGTTGTATGGTTGTATAAGGTCCTTTCTGAATCAATATCTGGTGAGTGCAGTAGTAGCATTTGCTCAGCCGAAATCAAATACTTCAACCTTCCATCTTTCACAAGCTTATACATTTCATTTCAGTACTGTACATTTTACATACTGTATTTCCCACTACAATACCGTCAAAAACAATTCTCCCAGTCACGATGTCAAGTAGTAATACACTCATTATTGAACAAAACAATTTACACACTCACTTACCGACAAAGCGCAACTGACGGGAATCATGAAAAACCCTCACAACCGGATGGAGAGGCGTTTAAGTGGAATTGCCATAAATTGTCGATCCTCGTAATGCAGTGGTAGTAGTAGCAGGTAGATTACTCAGACAATTATCACCGGGGTAAGGCACGCCGTGGGAACTGAGAGTAATTGCAAGAGGTGTGAAGGCGGCCCTCGTTGGCTCGACACTGTTCCAACTGCTTCTTTTGTTTCTCGTTTCCAAATTGCCACGGACGTGACCGTGCGGTGATGATAGCTACCGTCGCGGTACAGTCCACTCCAACCGGCGACTTCTTGTGCCGCCCGTGATTGCTAGTGTGATAGGTTTTTGCATTTCCGTTGCTAATGTTCGTTTGAAATGTCTAAAGTTGAATTGTAGAAGAGGTTTGCGATGTGGAAATCGTTAATTAACTGAAGTAATTATAGTACAAATTTGTGAACAATCCCATTCTTGCATAGTGACTGCGATTCAAAAGCTCTTTTAGGAATCTTCTTTCGGGATTCATGGTTACTACTAGGTCAGTAGCCCATTCACGTTAGCTTAATTGCGTTGCATTTAATTCCTTTGAAAACTTGGAGTGAGTTAGTTGAGTTAGTAAAGAAAGCTATATTATATCACGAGTTTGTGCATCGTTTACGGAATAGTCACCGGTAAATCTTTAGATAACTATCCCAACCATGTGCTCAATTTGGGCCAGGGACTGGAACAGGACCTAAAGGGTGCTAAAAGTTCTCCTCTTTTTCTTATATGAAAACAATGCATGGTATAGATCTATGAGGTAGAGTGTTTGCTTGGGATTACTGGACAAACAGTTAGGAGAACAAATATAACTACCACATACCTAATTCCATTTATGAAATTTTTCGGGTCGTTGTAGGATTAGGATTTTAATTGTTATGGTTTCTCAAAAATAATGAATCGAACTCAGTTTGAATGTACTCTTGAAGCAATAAAAAAGGAATCGGCGATTCTAAGTAGCAAAAAGTAGTCATTCAAGTTTCGTATACAGTTATCAAAATGTCAATATTAGTTAAAAACACAAAACAACGCAGATAAATATGTTTAGACCCCTACATCATCATGAATCTCAAAGTGGTCACGACTTGTCTAAAAACTATCTAATTCACTTAGAAAAAACTAATTTCCGTCAGCTAATAAACTGACCACAACTTCTCGCCAGAGATGAATGAATGGAGTCCATCAATGGAGTTCCCAGAGGCGGAAATCAACCTGGATTCCCCAGAGTAAAACAAACTCGGTAATCGGTGGATGTCCGAGGTGCTGCGTTGTCGAGGTTGTAATTGCAGCCCAACACGTACCCTAGCGCCGCGCCGCCCGCCACTTAGCCCTGATACGCCTTGGTAATCATCGAGGATTGCGATTGGCTTCCGGTAATCACGGCGATGAAATATAGCTGCGATCAGTTGGATCCGATGTCGACGAATGAATGGAGAACTTTGGGCAACAATGCGGTTTGTCGTCAAAATTCGAGCATCTTGAAAATTGATTAAAGAAATAAAATCTTTCAAGAATAGATGAGATCAATAGTTTGCATAACTCTACTTTCATGAGGTTATGTGAACCCACTCATAAAGTGGGTTATTTAGATTTATTGTCGATAGCTGGAATGACAGTGGGAAAACGTGTATCAACTTACTGAGGTATTGTTACAGACTAACAATACCTCTAATTCTCTATTCAGATAATTCTAATTCTAATTCTCTGTCTAATTGTTATCACGATTATTTCAATACAAGTTATACAATTATGAGTTGAAAACACAGAGTTCATTTTTTATTTACTAATTGTAGTTAAACATTTCCTCAATAATAACTCAAGTAACGTAAACCACCCATACCATTAATGATCTTCGAACAAAAAAGGGAGGAAATGGAGTTGTACGGTTAATATGCAAACTGTTGAATAGCAGCTGAATTTTGTTTTCTTGTGGGACAGCTAATGATTAAATGATATCTACATTCCATCTCTTGTTGTGTATGGATGAAATGGAAGGTTAAGAAGTACAATTACACATACACATCTGAGAGGTATCTCAAATCACCATTCACTATTGTCTTACATTGTAAATTGACCGTGGTCATCTTCAAAGACACTTTGCATCTGCTCATTAAGAAATCCCCAATTTATGGAGAACCAAGTTTGGGTATGGATATAGCGATATAGCTCTTCCCTCGGACGGAGAGACCCATATCACAGAAAGCTGCAATATAGGGTATATATTCAATGGCTGCAGCGAAGAGAAGCAATTGCATTAATGTATCTGTGTGAGACAAGAATGAAACGTCGGGGGTTCGTGTTCTTTAGCTATTAATAAAACAACCCAGGTTTTACAGTTCCGGAAAGCGTCACAGAGTTTTTTAATAAATTTATGTTTTTTAAATTATATGTAAAGATTGTAAGATTGTAACGCAGTACTGTTAAAACTTTGCAATCATTCACTGTCTAATTTAAAACTTGATTTGAAATGAAGTAATCAGTTTTGAGAAAATTTTTGCTCAATCTAAATGTGAAAAAGATAATTACACGTTATTATTTCTTTGTAGATTGTTGAAAAATAAAATTGCACTCAATAAACCTATTTCATCGAATACAATTTGACATCAGTTTTTTTATTATTTGTAACCGAAACTAAAATACTTCCTGATTTAAAACAAATTGGTTAATGTCTTAACCTTAAAAAAAACTGAAAAACTGTTTTAGAATATAATTATTGTATGCATTTTTTTATAAAAAATTTTTTACAAAGTTTCTCGTGATCATTGGCGAAGATGTCTGCTTGATGTGTTATCTTGCCCAGACAGTATTGTCCGTCTTACGCAACGCAACATTAGGCAAATGGGTTTTGGCTTTCACCTTCAGAACTGCAGAAGCTGTGAGTACTGAGTAGGTAAGTGGATGCAATATGAGTAGTGAGTAGTGAGCTACACCTGATGCAACTACAGGCTACTGATCATGGGCAAATGTCAAGCCTAATATGGACAGAGATCTTCTTCAATTGCTGAGAGTGCATTACCAGACGCGACCTTGGATATATTCTCATGAGAACAATTTTGATTTGTAGACGCTGTTTTGTTGGACGTAAAACCGGCAGGTTTTGTTAACCATTTAATACGAAAGCTTCCCTAGCAGTTATGGTGGTGTA